TTGAAGTGCTTATGTTGCTGGTTATTCATTTGAGCCAATGTAACCCTTGAAAATCTTGAAAAATCATGTTTTGGCCGAAGCATCCCTGCATCGGGTCGCAGCCTCCGGACTGACCCGTTGATGAAGATTGTGCGTCCCGGTTGCCGACAAGCCATGCGCCCGCCTTAAGTTGTCGGTAGTGCTTCGGAGGTTCACGAACGCGCCCCTTCGAAACGAGATAAAATTGGAAAAGAAATCAAATAATTCTAAGGCAAAGTTTAAACAAAAGTTCGATTTATATTCAAATAATTCGATAATCAAAATAACAAGGGAGTGTACCTATTTATAGGCTCCAAAATCTACTCGTAATCACCCTAGGCTATCTATTAAAGCAATAAAATATTTAATGTCCTAAACAATCTAAAAATTATAGGGTAACAAGGAAACTATCTAAAACTTCTAGACTATCTCAATCTTACGCGCCAAGTAGGGGAACCCTAGCCGCTTCGGTCTTCTCCTCGCGCATCTTCTCGTTTGTCTCGAGGACTAAGTCATCGCTAGCCTTATGCGCTCGTGCGTCATCCTCGCCCGTGATGTCTGCGGCTTCGCCCTTTGCGGCCACCCGCGCGTGTCATCCCCCAAGAGTCGCGCGTCATGTTCGATCACCTGTGTCTCAACCGCGCGCCAGACTAACCTTCTACGTGCGTGATATGCGTGGCTTGACGCATTCCTGAGCTGCCGCACGACATCCTCATCATTTCTGTCCCCTTCAAGTGCTTCCTTGTCCTCGAGGACGAGAGTTGGGAATTGTTCGCGTATTCCGTCTAAGTCTTCCCAAGCGACTTCTTCATATGGTAAATCTTTCCATTCAATCAACGCTTCCCAACTATAGCGACCAGCCTTCTTGACTTGTCGGTACTCGATTGCGACTCGGCCGCACGATAATTTGTCCATCCGGCGCGGTCGCGGGTAACTGGTCGAACCACCTATGCGTCTCTCTTAAACCTTTTTTAAGCTGAGAGACATGTATGACCGGGTGTATATGCGAGCTTTCCGGCAACTCAAGTCGATAGGCTACCTGACCTATGCACTTCAAAATCTGATCAGGCTCGTAATAGCGAACCCCGAGCTTGGTCGCGGTCTTTTGCGCTGTCGTGCGTTGTCTGAACGGCTTTAGCTTCAAGTAAACATAGTCACCCACGACGCTTGCCATCATGAAATGCATTCATTCGGTTGATTGAGCCTTTGAGGTTCTTCTTTAGCTCATTTATCATCAAATCACGTTCCATAAGTTCTCGGTTAACCTCGTCGTTGATCGCGCTTCCCTCCGAGTAACTCACGAGCATTGGTGGCTTTTGACCGTATACGAGCTCAAAGGGCGTGGCTTTGGTTGAGCTATGATAAGTGGTATTATACCAATACTCGGCCCAAGGCAAGAAATTCTCCCACTACTTCGGAATGATGCACATAACACCGCAATTATTGCTCGAGCGTGCGGTTGGTCACCTCTGTTTTCTCGTCGGTCTGCGGGTGGTATGCCGAGCTCATCGACAGTTTGGTGCCTTGCAGCTTAAAAAATTTCGACCAAAAGCTGCTCATGAAAATCCAGTCTCGTTCGGAAACGATCGAGCGCGGGACCCGCATAGCTTCATCACATACTTGATAAATAGTTTAGCGGTGGATTTCGTCGTGTACGGATGCGTGAGCAGTACGAAGTGTGCGTACTTGGCAAGGGCTGCAGCAGCCCGTCTAGCCGACATGCATCAGCCTTGGTCTGTTGGCACTCATCACAGCGCGCGACGTAGTCTCGGACAGCGCCTTGTTGTCCCGGCCAAGAGAAGGTATTGACCATCCTCATTCAAGTCTAATAGAATCCCGAGTGCCCACCAACCTTTGAGTCGTGGAAGTGCTGTATGATTCTCACACAGCGTTGTCCGTTATTGGGCACAAACACTCGGCCCCGGTAGAGCAGTAGCTCGTTGTGCTGCTCGTAGTCGGCGACAACGGTATCACCCGTCTCGAGCCCACGACGCATGTCTTGGCATTGCGCGTCGTCTTCTTGTGCCTTTCTAAGATCGTCCCACACGGCCCAGGTAGGCCCTGATATGGTCTCGAGCTCAGCCACGTACATCCGTCGCGACAGCGCATCGGCCACGACGTTTTGTCGGCCCAGTCGATACACGATCTCGAAGTTGAAGCCCATGAGCTTTGAGACAAACTTTTTCTGCTTGGGTGTCACGATCCTTTGCTCGTGCAGATGCTTGAGTGGTTGTTGGTCAGTCATGATCCGAAAATGCAGCCCCAGAAGGTAGGGCCGCCAGCATCGTACTGCTTCCACGACCGCTAGCATTTCTTTCACGTATACGGACAACCCGAGTCGAGTAGTGTCAAGCGCCTTGCTGAGAAAGGCTAGGGGCCGGCTGTCTTGCACCAATACTGCCCCAATTCCTACTTCGCTCGCGTCGGTGTGCACTTAGAACATGAGATCAAACTTAGGCATTGCGATCACGGGGGTGGTTGTCATGGCTTGCTTTAGTTTCTTGAACGCGGACTCCCTGGCCTCCGTCCATTTGAGCCCCCTTCTTGGTCATCTCCGTGAGCAGCTTAGCAATCGTCCCGTAGTCCTTTACAAATTTCTGGTAGTACCCCATGAGGCTGAGGAAGCCTCAGAGCTGTGTGAGATGGGTCGGCTTCGGCCAATCCACAATGGCCTCGATTTTTCTCCGGTTGACCCTCACGCCCTCATGCGTAATAAAAAGACCAAGGTACTCGACCGTTTCTTGCCCGAATGAGTATTTGGACGGTTTGATGTGAAACGAGATCGCATCTAGGATCTTAAGTTATAATGCCCCACTTTTATCTTGACGAAAGTCAAAAGTCAACTTAAATTTTCAAAATTCTTTTCGTAAATAAGTGGCGCTGCTCAACATAAGTTCATAAATCATCATCTCATAAATCATACTCGCAAGTATCACAATTCAACGTTCAATCGACGTTTTCATAAATCTCCGAGTTCGTAAATCGTAAATCATAAGTACCCAAAGTCATGAATCATAATTCCTCAGCTTTCAATGCATAATTAAAACCAATGTTCATAAATAACGACAATATTCCAAGGTCATAAATAAAGCTACTATATGAGGTCAGGTCAAACGACCGACCACCACTCGTCTTTGCCTCGTCATCCGACACCCGCTTAACTTGCATCCATGAAGAGCAGGTAGGAGTGAGCACGATGAACTGTAGTGCTCACTACTATTCACATGAACAATAATAATATACGAAAAATTAAATAGTATGGTCGCAGTATGAACATAATCAATAAACATTCCATCTCTTAACCAAAGTAATTCTCATGTGCACACCTATAACAATAGACTGCTGCTCGTATGCCTTTCGGCAAACATAAATGGGGTGCCCAAACAGCAGGAGGCTCAACCGTCACAGCACGCACCTAGTGCTGAGACAGGATATCCATCACCGGCCAGAGCACATTGCCAAGGTCTTACAGATGACGTGGTCCTTAGCAAAGGACAAATGTAGAGATTACCCTTGCAGGGTACATTCTATAGCTACGGGGATAACCGTTCGACGACAGGTACAACTCACATCAAAGATTACATGTTCACATACATACATTGATCATACCCACATAAATACTCATGGCATATATAATTTTGAATAAAAACCCACCTGGATACCGAGATGTAGCTAAACACAGAGTTGAGGGAATTATGGCAAAATTTCAGCTCGAAGAACCTACAACTATTATGATAGCCTATTAACTGACTATCCAACACAAAAACAACACAAAAAGCACATATACTTAGCCGAAATCATATCGACTAAGTGACTCGTGGATTCTATGACCGAGTTAAGTACAATGGAGTGACTACTAGACCTGAACACAACTTAAATACCTCAGATAATACACATAAATTATGCCAACATCAATAAAATCCAACCCGAACCTAAACAACGGATAATCGAGCATTAAGACTCCAAAATAAACAAAATTCAGAATCCGGAGTTAGACTCAACCAATCAACCTGAAACTTTACCACATTACAAGGCATACAAAGCACATAATCTCACCAAGTTCCAGCCCTAAATTCATCCGGGAGCATTTTTAAATAATTTAAGCAAAAACAGCGCTAAAATCGGAAGTTAGTAGTTCATATAGCTACACTTTGAATTTTAATCTGAAATTTTGTTACAACACAGAGTAAAAAAAAATAACACAATCCTCAAAGTTTCAGCTCAAAACTCCAAGTGTACGATTTTTAATGAATTTTATAAGATTCTGACCAGAAACCGATTTAATTAATTAAAAGAGCTACAGATGGAGTTTCGACTTGAAAATTTTACAATACATAAAAATAATCACAGAAAATCACATATAAAATTTCACGGCATTCGGACAATCACAAGATTTATCATGAATTAATTACGATTCAACAGCATGCTCGATTTAGAAAATTCATAACTCATGATATACACATCGAAACGACCTCAAACCAAAACCAATAAATCAAGGACAACTCCAAGTACCTATAACTCTAGGATTTCCACGAAAAATATTGCTCTAAACTCAGTTCGATAATAAATCAAAGTGACGGCAATCACTTTGATATCCAAACCGCATGTAAACTCATAATACGGCACAATAACATATCCAAGGCACGTAATCAACTTGTAATTCACACGTTCAGCACATAATATATCACAATATCACAATACACGAAATCAAAACGAGATGGTTCG